ACCACTCTTACACTGCAGTTGATGCAAAAGCAAGGGGAATTTAATTTGACTGGCATGTCAGGGTCCTCAGCCTCAGGAGGAGAAGGATCCCAAAAAGCTATTACAGGCATCTTTTAAAGAGAAAAACCACAGAATCAAAAGGGGTGGTGCAGAAGTCATTTGTCAACTATTGTGACTAGCTCGCTCAGTGCTCAGCTAACTATGATGGGTCATTGCTATGGCGATTGCTGGGTTGGCTGAGCAAGGAGAAACACCTACCCCAGTTCCAGGACCTGGGTCTATTGAATAAAAACTACAAAGGGGATGGAAAATTTCAGGGGAAAGTACCCAAAGCTCCAGTGCACCTGTGGGTGATTATCAGGTTCTTGGTTCCCAGAGGAGGGGGGGCGGTAATGCTGAGCCCCAGGGTCTTTCAGACTCAAAGGTGACAAGAAGTCAACTGACTGTTACACTGAGAGAATTTTGAGAAAAAAAGATACTTCAAAGCCCACCCCCACAGTGACACACTTCCTCTAACAGGGCCAAACCTCCTAATAGTGCCACTCACTTTGGGAGCCATTTTCTTTTAAACCATCACACCTGGGCAGGTAGTTCTAGGTGGTATCAAAATGCAAATTGATAAATCCAAGGGGAATAAGCCAGTAAACAGCATTCCTGCTTCAGTTCATGCCTGTTGAGTTCATGCCCTGACTTCTCTCAATAAGCAGCTGTGATCGGATGTGTAAGCCGAACAGACCTCTTCCCCAAATTGGTTTTAGTAGTGGTATTTAATCAAAGAAATAGAAAGGAAACTATGACAGACAATAATATTGTTGGGGGATATTTTCTTGAACTCATGAATCTTCTACCCTTTCTCAAAGTATTCCATCTAATCAAACAGAAGAAGGCCTATATTATGCAGGAACCCTAAACCCAAACATCCCAGGTCATTGGTGACTCTCCCCATGTGAGAATTTTTTCACACTGCACAGTTTGATAGAAAACCTAGCATGACCACTCTGCCTCCCTCTCCTACCCATGTGGGTACAAAGGATTACTAAAACCCTTTCTCCCTGGCAATCCCTGTTGATTCCATTAAGATTCTGTGGAGCTTCTACTGGGTTTGTTTGCTCACCAGGACTCATTTCTAGCTCAAAGTGGATACTACTCTCTTGGAAGGGGAGAAAAATTTTCACTGGGCAGTAGTGGCTCATGCCTTTAATCCCTTCTCTCTCCCCCCCCTCTCCCCTTCCCACAACTCCACCCCCTTACCCCCATCTCCATGCTCCCAACTTTTGCCCGGCAATCTTGTCTGCTTCCAGTTTCCAAGATGATCCATATATGTTTTTCTTTGGGTTCACCTTGTCATTTGGCTTCTCTAAGCATATAGGTTTGTGAACTATAGGCTAATGTCCTTTGTTTATGGCTAGAATCCACTAATGAGTGAGTACATACCATATTCATCTTTTTGGGTCTGGGTTACCTCACTCAGGATAGTGTTTTCTATTTTCCATTTGCATGCAAAATTCAAAATGTTATTATTTTTTACCACTGAGTAGTACTCTATTGTGTATATATTCCACACTTTATTTATCCATTCTTCCATTGAGGGGCATGTAGTTTGTTTCCAGGATCTGGCAATTACAAATAATGCTGCTATGAACAGGGTTGAACAAATGCTTTTGTAGTATGATTGGGCATCTCTTGGGTATATTCCCAAGAGTGGTATTGCTGGATCCTGAGGTAGATTGATTCCCAATAATATAGATTTCTAGAGATACATTCCAAACTCAAATTATGCAGTTCAAATGTCATTTGAAATGTACATAAAAAGAATCTTTTGAGACTAATGTATTCTATCATGTATGTCTACCATTGCACAACAAGAGAGCCATTTCAAATGAATATATGTTGAATTGTTCAAAGCAGTTCTTTAAAACCTATACCTAGATACATCATTAGCTACCTGAGTACTGAATGGAGAGATATTTAAGTGGTTTTAATCAAAATCTATTGGTACCTCTGGTTTTAGCTGCATTTCTAGAAAATGGAATTTGGCTCAATTTTTATCTCTGGGTGATAAATGTTTTATGAAGAGCAATTAGTACTTTTAATTTTAAATGTTTAAAAAAATAGTAATAAAAGTTGGCCCACACCTTCAATCCCTGCAGCCTGGAGACAGGATGATCCCTGTGATTTTGAAGGTCAACCTTAATCTGCGTAATGAGTTGAGGTCAGCCAAGGCTGTATAGTGAGATCCTGTCTCAAATAATGAAAAAAGAAAAATGAATACAAATAATGTAAGGAAACATTTTGTGTAACCAACTGAAACAAGCAAACATTTGCATAGTCCCGAGGAAGGCTGATGTAAGGCCGTTAGCTAGCATGGCAACATGAGAAAGTCAAGCCACAAGAGGACGTGGAGATATGTTGGTATTTTGTTTGTAATCTAAGAAATAAAGCTTGCCTGGAGGTTAGAATGCAGGGCTACTGCAAGTTAGCCTTGGAGGGCAGACAGTAGTGGCACACACCTTTAATCCCAGCACTCACAAGACAGGCAGACAGATCTCTGGGAGTTCAAGGTTAATGTGGCCTACTTGAAACAGTCAGTGGATTAACCTTTAATCCTAGTGTTTGGGATTCACACACCCTCACTCCCAGCATTAGGGGGGTGGAGTCAAGAAGGGATTAAGGCTTAAGGCAGGGCAGAGAAAGCTATATAAGCGAGGACCTCAAGTGCTATCTGAACATACTGTATGAGATTTGGTGGAGACCCAGCTCAGTCTAGGAAGTCTGAGGATCACCCATCTTGGTCTGAGCTTTGATAGAAGTAAGTACTCACTTGGGGCTTACTGGTCTGTTTCTCTGATCTTTAGCTTTAACCCCTGCTTCTGACACTCGGTACTGATTATAAAGAACAATTAGAATTCGTGTTACAGAGATGGGCAGCTACAATCATGAAGGAACAAAACTTGGTGTGGGAAAATAAGGAAAACTTATGCCTTAGTGCTTTCAAAGCACAAAACTTAGAAACAATATACAGATAGCAATTTGCTAAAAACGGCAACATGATCTCTCCCCTGGAAAAAGAGGGGCAGAAGGCCTCACACTCTGCAAGTAAATGGCCAGGGTGGAAAATGTACTGTGCTCTGTCAAGTATAGTGAATTCTAGATCAGAATCAGGATCAGGACATGCAAAAAAAGAGATAGGATTTAGGACACTAAAAAATCATTCAAGGGGATGAGCCGTGGAGCCATAGTGCAGCATATACAACCCTGACACGCGCCCTGTGAGCAAAACAAAGCAGACCCGAAAGAAAAGCACACACTATTAATTTTGTATATATGAAGTTCTGGAATAGCACAGTGGCTCTATGGAAATAAATGTCACCACAGTGCTCATTTAAGAGATCACTCATGACAGGAGAGGCGCATGAACGATTTTAGTAGAGTTCTCACATACTCAGGTAAGAGGATGTGCAAAGTGAAATTTCTAAGTGTACATTCAAAATCTCTGCATTCTATTTGAATAACTTAGACACCTTGAACCTAGTGCTGGCTTAAAGAAGGGCTACCCATCCCCCACATCAAAGGAACACAATGGGCGCTGCTCTCAGCACCTATCTTATGGCTGGTTTACCTGCTCAACTCCAAGCTTAGGTTCCTGTGTGCCTGGGAGGGTCCGAGGGGCTGTGTAGAGGCACTCCATAGAGAGAAGGGAGCAGCTGACCTCATTTCTTTTCTTGGGTGGAGTAGCATCTATACTGTTCCTTAAAACAGCGCAAATGTAAACGAGGTGTAAACTGCCTTCACATCTCATTTAGGGAACAGATGAGCCGTGAAATGCATTTCACAGGCACAAGTGCTGCAGGGCTACGCTTAGCAAGCGGGCGCAGTCTCGCGGTACAGTGTTGAGCATTTGCTCCTCTTCCCGCGGGATCCAGGATTATTTCTGTGTTCCGACTGCTGGCCGGGTGGGAGGGAAAGGGGGCAGGGTATGAGTGTGGGAGGAAGGAGGGAGTTGCTTCTCTGGTCCTTAAGACTCCTTCCTTTCTCTGTGTGCTCAACTCCTACACATCTGTCAAAGACCAGCATAGCTGTCACCTCCCTGTACAGCACTCATGCTCCCTGATTCTCATTCCTTTCTCCTCTCGCCGTACTTGACTCCTTCCCTCTGTCCTAATTTATCATGGCTGGCTCTATAGGATCCCTGCAGGCTAATTCTTGATCTCCGTAGTTGCTCAATTAATCATGTATAAAGTATGTGTATGTGTGTATTTGTGTGGTATGTACACATGTGCATGCAGCGTACACACCCATGCACACACATGTAGGAGCTAGAGACAGATGTCAAGTGTCTTCCTACATCCCACCTTATTTTTTGAGACAGGGTCTCTCACTGAACTGGAAGCTTGCTATTAGGGCTAGACTGGTTGACCGTTGAGCTTCTGGAATCTGCTTGGCAATGTTCCACAACACTTGAGTCACAGATATGTGTGTCTATGCTTTTGAACGGGTGCTAAGGACAATCTGAGGTCCTCCTGTTTTCACACCAACTATTTTTATCCACTGAGCATTCTCTCCTGCTCCTCAGTAATCTTTAAGAAATAAATGTGAACCGAAGTAGGAGAGATGGGGAGACTACAGCATCTAAAAATGCCTCTGTAGCAACTAACCCTTCTGCAAACACCTCCCTGGAAATTCAAAAGCTCCACATACTTGAATCATAAAATGTAGGCATTTGGGGCCAGGTGGGGGTGGGGTGAAGCTATGGGCGTGGCTTGGCACGGAGGGCGTGGCCTTGGCCTGGGGTATTCTGGGTGGCCAATGCCGGAAGCTGGCAAATTGGTTGCTGGCAGAGCCCGATGCACTCGGCCCACAGCCTGCACGCGCCGAAGTACGGCCTGCACCATTGGCTCCCACAATTCTAAAGTCGAACTCTCTTGTCCCTGCATCTCAACAGGTCAAGGCAGGAGACACAGACACCCCAGACATAACTATAGAACCAGAGAACCTGGAAAATGAGCACCTTCCACAGACCGCCATTAACTGCATTCAAGGACAGCAGTGAAAAGAGTAACCTTCTTCGGATTCGAGAGAAGGAGAGAGGCAACCAAGAAACTCACCTGGAGAAAGAGGTGTCTGCTGAAAAGATGCCACTGTTTGGAGAGCCCTACAAGACTAAAAAAAGGGATGAGTTGTCGCGTCAGATACAGAACGTACTAGGAGACTACGAAGATATGAAGGAGTTATGGAGATCTATGTCTTGTACTCAGTGTCCAAATGGTTCTGAAGACAGCCGGGGGAAGCCGAAATATCCTTTATTTCATGACAGGGAAAGCCTTGAATCCAACTCCTGTTGCATGCACATCTACCACAAGCTTTTCTGTACTTCTGCCCATGGATCACCTTTTGTTGGTAACATTAGCCACAGTTCAAAGATGGCACCACCAAGGATGGAGCCAGTGCCAAGTCTCCATACCGAAAACTATGGTCCACCCGACAAACAGCATCTGACTCGAGATCGCCTCAGTCAGGAGGGGCACTCTTCAAACCACAAAAAGTGTGACCGCAGAGCTGATGGTGACTCAGCTCCGGGTAAAAAACTCTCACCCTTAATCTCCCCTGTGTCCCATTTGTCACCTGCACATTCCAGACTGCAAAGAACCCGCAAGGTTTACAGCAGCAGTAGCACTAGCAATAAAGGCTACTGTGCAGACACGTCTTCCAAGGACCCGAAGGTGAAGGTTCAAGATAACGAGACTCCTGTTGACACTTCAGTGGTAATTACCAGACTTGGGGTGGCCTCTCAAACATTTCCACCCCCTCCTCTCCCCTCAGAAAGCGTTGCAATGCAGCAGAAGCCCATGACATGTATCTGGCCCACAGACGGTCAGAATCAGGCTCCCAGTGAGTCCTTGGGCCTGAAGCAGCCACTGGAAGACAATGGTCAGCAGAGCTTCGAAAAACTGGATGTAAAAATGCCAGCCAAAGCCAAACTCACCAGACTGAAGATATCTTCACAGTCGGAGTCGGTGGAGCAGTTGTTCTTCAATGAAGTCCGCTGCATTGAGGAGATTCTGAAGGAAATGACCCATTCGTGGATCCCTCCTCCGACAGCCAAGCATACACTCAGTACGGCCAAGACCAAGCATACGCCCAGTACGGCCAAGACCAAGCATACACCCAGTAGGGCCAAGACATCCAGATCTCCTTTCCCTACAAAGGAGCCTCTGCCCAATAGTTCTGCAACCCAAAGCCAAAATCAATACGATCCACCTTCCAAAATTTTTCCCAATTCCCAGCAAGGAACATCCATACTCTGGGAGGACCTGCAGCTCAGTGATAGTGAAGAGAGCGACACAGAACAAACAGCAGGGAAGTTTCCATCCCTATCTGCACCTCCAAGTGCTCCCCAGATTCTCCCCAAGCCGGTGGTGTCAGCACATTCCAGTAGTGCAAAGTCGGAAAACAAGGGTGAAAACCGCAACACTGACCAGCTACACCCTGAGTCCAAAGGCTCTCCCCGCAAGAGTTCCAGCAAAGGTGTCCAAGATCCCACTGAAGGGCCCCAACCTGAAGAGAGGAGCTGCCAGAAATCCCCTGCCCAACAGGAGTCCCCACCTCAGCAAACTATTGAAACCAAACAACCCAGAAAACCTGCTAAGGGCTCTGGCCAAGCAGAGCCCCAGGCCTGTTTGCAGGTGGAAAGTAAACCAGGACCCCTTCCTTCTGAATCAAAAAAACAGACTTCCAAAGACAAAACCAAGATGAAGGCAAAAGGCAGGGAGCCTAAGCCTGAAGCTAGCATGCCCAACCATCAGGCAGCCGAGCCAGCCCCTAAGGAGAAAAGGAAGCACAAGGGTTCCCAGGCTCCCTTAAAGGTGCCCTCAGGCCCTCAGCCACCAAAGGACAAAGCTCAAAACAGGAACTCTTTCACTCTGCCTCACAGTGGTAGGGGCTGCAGTGGCAGCAGCAGTGGCAGGTCTAGCGACTGCCAACAAACTGCAAATGTCCAGGAAGAAGGTCAAAAGAGAGACACCGAATTGCTCTCACCGCTCAGGGACTCTCCACTACCAACGAGTTTGGTAGTGAAGAAGATAAACCTAGATCATCTCACTCAGATTCCCCAGCCCCTGGGGAAGGGTGGCAGCCCTAGGAAAGCAGAAGACAGGCAGCCGCCAGCAGATAAGAAGCAAGACTCTGAAAAGAGAGACTGCAATGGCTCCAGCAGACTGAGCAAGAAGAGAAAGGGCAGCGACTCAGAAAAAGACCATGCCAGCAAGAAAATCAGAAGTGAGAAAAATGTCCAGTCACATTGTACTTCTTCTTCCTCTTCCCATACTGAATCTTCCAAAACAAAGACTTCCAAACCCTCCTGAAGAGTCCTCAAGAAAAGAAATGTCTTCTCTGCCACCTTTGTCAGCCTCTTCCTCCTCCCAGAAGTCAACCAAAACTGCACGCAAGAAGCCAAAGCCGGATGTAGACACCTGTGGTCAGGACCCTCCCAAAAGTGCAGGCAGTGCCAATGCCAATGACCAGGACTCTTCTGTTCCCAAGCACAGAAAAGTGCCGAAAGTGCAGGCCAGGGGCTTGGAATACAAAGGGTCTTCTAGAGAAGCCACAAATGCGTTCCTAGTGCCTTCTTTGCCAGAGGGTAACTGTAAACCAGGGAAGCCACAAGTGAAACCTTACATGCAGAAAGCTGACTTTTACATGAAGGCAGCTAAAAGGTTGAAGTGTGAAGCAGCGGCAATGACGAACAAGATCAAAAAGGCCTTCAAGTATTTGGAAGCTGTCCTGTCTTTAATTGAGTGTGGGATGGCCATGGAGTCAGAAAGCTCAGTAAAGGCAGCGTACGCTGTCTACTCAGAAACTGCAGACCTCAATTAAGTTCACGATGTCATTAAAATCCTTCTCGGATGCCACGGTGCCAGCACAAGAAATGATCTTTGCCGTTTTATGTTTGCGTTGCCAGTCACTGGTGAACATGGTGATGTTTCGCTGTAAACAGGACGTAGTAATGAAGTATTCTCACTCTCTTAGTGACCACTTCACCAATTCTTCTCTATGCACAGGTATTCCGTCCTCCCTCTCCCCAGTGCCTTCTCCTGACAGATCTGTCAGGTCCCAGTCAAGCGCTGGTGGGATGACGGCCACCATCCGTGTCCCAGTCACCATCCAGAACAAGACCTTTGCCTATTTCACCATCACAAACCACCTCCTTAAAGCCTTCGAACTCTGGGAACAGTCAGAGGCCCTTACAGAGAAGAATAAAAAATTCTTTGCTCAGCTCAGCACAAAGGTGCAAATCTTGACCCTCAACAGCAGCCGGGTGGACCTGGTGATCTACACAAAGCAAGGTCTGCAGCGGCTGAAACAAACACTCAAAACTCCATAAAACAGGCTGGGATTACTTGACACTTGAGCTGTCTTTGCGCAGCTGGGAACCTTGATCTAGTGTAGACCACTGTCTGATGGCGATGGCACACTCAGGAAGTAAAGCACCACGATGGTCAGAATTTTTGCCCACTTAAACTCACAAGAGCTGTGTGGCTATCCGTTGGATACTGGTTAGCAGAGCGGGCGGTGGGAAATGACCTGCCTTTCCTATGGAAGGACAGAAACGCAATGGAGCCTAGCTGGTCTAGTGGCCTTTCTGGTTGTTTTCTGTTTGTTTGAACAATAGGATACAGGTTGCCAATGAAAGAACAAGAAGTAGTTTCTAGTATCACAGCAGATACCTGTCATCCAGTAGCCACACGAGTTTACTTCCAGAAGGAACTTTTGTTTTTCTGAATAATAATTTTTGGTGAAGGATTTTATGGATATATATTTTTTAAAGAAAACATTGTTTAATAAATTCTAATGACTTGTAATAAAATAAATGAATAAATGAATAAAAACATTGACACATTTGCTGTGGGACAATGGTCTTTTATCCTGTCACTTGTATTATTTTTAATAAAATGCTGATTGGCCATTAGCCAGGCAGGAAGTATAAGAGGGGTGACCAAGCAGGAAGTAGAGGCAGAGCAATGAGAACAGGAGAATTCCGGGAAGAAAATTTTAAATGATTTACAGTGTGTTGAAAATAATATGCAGACTAAAAGTTAAAATTCTTAAAAAAAAAAAAAAGTAAGAAAAAGAGAAGTTGTGTGTGGTAGTACACGCCTGCCTTTAATCTCAA